CCGCGAGGAGGGGTCCCGTCCCGCCGTGTCGTAGCGCATTTGTTTCGAGAGAGAATCAACAGATCATATTCAGTGTCTTGAATAAATTGCTCTATTTTGATACTAGACAACGTGGTGGGTGTGTTTTCTTGGTCGCGCTCGGTGACCTGGGGGCTCCGCGACCCCGCGGGCGAGTGGAGACAGGCTGCGTCGTCTCGCGGGGAAACCGAGTCTGGTGTCCGCTTCCAGGACGGCCGCTTAATCGGGCATGGGACCGAACGCTTCCGACCCCAAGGGAGCGTGTTTTGGAGTGTTTTTTTTCCTCTCCGTCACTTTAGTTCAGACTGGCTGTTTGAAAAAGTCAAAGCACGTGGACTTTGTCTTGTCCACGGTTTGCTTTGAGCCATCGGAAGAAGCCATAGTCACGGGACGCGGGGGACATCGGACGCTGACTGTGCCCAGTGCGGACGAGCACTTCCGCACACGTTCTGAGCCAGAGTCCACCGGCTGGTTTTGTCGAGGCCACTTTCATCCTTGGTGGCTGTTGTGGAATCTGGTTACTTGGTGGGTACGGCTGTCCCGTGACAGGGAGGAAGCAGGTGTGTCCGAGAGCCAGGCCGCACAGGTGAGCCCAGAGCAGGTCGTGCTGGTGTCTTGACAGCCACCCTGACGCTGTCCCAGAATGAAACAGAGGCTGCGGCCCGTCCCGTGTTTTCGGCCCCTGTGTCATCTCGGGCACAGCTGCCTTAATTTTTTGTCCTTTTTCAAACCCTGTCTGGCTGACCAAGCCCGTTCTCGCCAGGCCGATTTGGGGTGAACCCAACACCCCATAACCCTGCTACGACAGCCATAGGAAGGTCCTGGGAGCAAACGCAGGGCGGACCTGGGGAGGGGGGCACGTGTGACTTCCACGATAACGCCGGTGACGTGCACAGCTGTACACGGGTTTCCTGGCACCGGAGCGGGAGGAGGATTGATTGGGCCACGGAGGTAGCGAGATGCGTGTAACGTGAGTTACACGCGGGTCCCACGGAACCTGTGCCGCCGTGGCTCTGAGACGCCTCCCCACGTGCCCTGACGCCCCACTTCATGTGGCCTCTGGGGGCGGGAGCCCCGTCACTGAGCAGAGAGCTTCCTTCTGCCCTTGGTAATGCCCGCGTCTCGGGGCCGCTGCTGAAGAGGGTTCGAGAAGGTCCTTCGTGTCTAGAGACGCGCTCTGCACCCGGGACGGTGTGGGGGCCGCTGTCGGCTGCCGGTGACGGGAACTACGAGCCACTGTGAGGTGGACGGGGTAGGAGCCGGTGGAGGCACAGACAGGCCCTTACAAAGGTGCAGGATGTGGCCGAATGTTCCTTTTTTCTCCTCAGTCTGCCTCCTTTTTCTCCAAAGCGTCTCATGCACTTGCCAGGTAAGCAGGGCGAGGGGCCGGGGTCCCACCCGGAGGGGGCCGTGGGGGTGCAGGGCCGCGCTCCGGAGGGTGGGGGCTGTGGCTGGCGCGTGTCCTCACGCGGAGGAGGACGTGGCTGCGCTAGCACCTTCTCCCACGGCCACACGGTCAGTCCCGAGGGGCGAGGGAGGGGTCTTTGGAGGACTTGAGCAGAGTCATGAGTTTCCTGTGGTCCGATAAACAGCCCAGGGGGCGTCAAACGGGAGCCACCTGGTGACACCTTTCTACCCAAACTACACCGCCTGCGACTCCTCCGTCGTGTCCGGCCAGCCCCGACCCCCGTGCCGCCCACTTCCCCATCTTCAAGACCGTCCATTCGAGCGGTCACGCCGCCCTCAGCATGACCACTCCCATCACCCTCGGCCTGCTGGGTTTCCCAGCGTCCGCCGTCTGCAGCGGCCAGGCTTCCAGCAAAGTCGCTTACAACCAAGCGATCTCGTGCGTTTGTTCGTTTGCTCAGATACTGTCTCTTTTATGCCCTAGATTGACGAGATAACGCCACATCCTGACGCTCCCCAGCGAGTCCCCATGGCCAGGGCCTAGCTCCGTGCCTGCTGAGTAGCCACGACAAGGCACGTTCACTGACCCTCTCGCCCCAATCCACACCACGGTGCCAGCTGGTGACGATGACGCCCCATCTAGGAGGAGCTGTTGTAACCGGATAATCAGGTCTGCCACGGCTCGCGTGTGCAAGCTTCCCACCCCGACGCTGGCCAGTGTGACCCAAGGAGCATGGACGCCAATACTGGGCGCCTTTGAGGGGTTTCCAAGAAGTGGCCTTGGCGGCCACGCAGACAGCAAGAGCCACAGTGGGGCTCCAGGATCACCGGGGGCCGCCCACACCTGCACCCTGGGCCTGCAAGCTCACCGCAGCTGCCTTCCAAAGGGTCGTGCCTGCGGCCAGCCTGTCCTCAGGTGCTTCTCTGAGGCCCATTCCCTTGGGCACTGGCCACTAACTTACAGACGTGGAACACTGTGTGATTGGCTCTCCCGAGTCCCCTGCTTCCTCCAGCCGCAAAGGAGGCTGGGAAATCGCGCAGTGAGCGGTTTTTGCCTCCAGAGCGGGGGCGGGCTGTACCCCATGCGGCGCTGAGTAAATGCCCCATGTGGTAGGGGGTAGATGCTCAAGCACACTACGGGCTCTCCATGCTGGGGGCGGACAGGATGTGAGCACAGATTAGGAATGCAGATGCCACCCGGCAAAGCTGACACGGCCTCGTGCGTCCCTGACACTTGGGGTCACGTTGGGTGTGCCCTAGTGCAGGTCCCTTCGTGGGGAGGTGCAGCCCTGGGCAGCACGGCGACAGTGACCTGGAGCCCCGCGTCCATGTGCAGCTGCCGTGCCCTGCAGAAGTGCACATCCCTGCAGAAGTACGAGTCCAGGAGCTTCCGGAACAGCTTCTCTTCGTGAAGACGCTGTCACACAGCAGAGCTGTCCGCAGTGTCCTTAGAAAACAGTGTCATGCTCCTAGAGACACACCTACCTGGCTGCAACGTCAGTGCCTATTACAATATTTGTGCCAACCGTATATGTACCTTCTCGTGATGGAAAGGTGGAGCCCTGGGCGATCGGACCATAATAAATCAGGTGCCAAGAATTCCTTGGGCACGCGACTCAGCACGGCGTAGGGACCAGAGGCTCAATTCCTGGTGGAAACTACCTCTCCTGCCGCCTCCCCCACCCCGTCCCGGTGACCCCGGGGCCCTCCGCTTAGCCGCACCACTGGTCCTGCTGCTTCTGCGCTTGGAGGGGCCCTGGCACCGTCGGGCCCCTGCTGCAGAGCGGCAGCTGCAGGCCGTGTTCGCACAGAAGCCGAGCAGACGGGGATCGCTTACGAGGCCTTTATTGACTTTCCCAAGGACGCGGACCTGGCCTGACATTTCGGCGTCTGGTCGGGTGGGAAATCTGGCATCCCCAGCGCACGTGGCGGGACCTGTCAGCGCCACGGGGAGCCGGGGGGAGAGGCGCTCACCCGGTGACGGGCGTGCGATCTGGGGGGCGGGGGGCGCTACACCCAGGCGGGGCAGGGACGGGAAGGGGTGAACAGAACGGCAGAGAGGGGAGGGTCTGGGCTGGGGCCGGCCACGTCCCGGTCACAGGTCTCCCTGCATTTTTGGGATGGATTCGGCCTCGGCGCTGCGGACCCCACGGGCCGTGTGGATGTCGATAGCGCTGGCGTCGGAACCTGGAGAGGGAGAGAGAACAGCCAGTGATGCTGCCCACGTCCTCAGAGGCGTGTCATGCGATCCTGTCCCCCACGTCAGGCTCGGGAGCACCAGAGCGCAGTGCGTTTTCCGGACGGCTGCTGCAGCCGCCACGAGGGGCTGGTGCCAGCTTGAACCGTGGGCACCGTGATCGGTGGCCGGCCACGGGCCCTCGATGCCAGGAGGTGCCCCAGGGGAGGGCGACCACCCCCGTCTACCGAGCTGCGACACCTCCGTGCTGGCTCTCCGTGGATGATGCCACACGGCGTGCGGGTGTGGGGAGGGCCGGGTCCTGAGCAGAGTGAAAGCCAACATCGTTCCTGCCGGAGGAGTCATCCCGGAGGACACGCCGTCCTGCTCAAGCCGTGGGACTCCTGGGGACCGGTGTCACATTGCGCTTTATTCTGCACGGAGGCTGCCGTGTGCCCGGTTCTGTGCTGCGTGTGCAGAACACGGATGGCAGCCTCAGAGGACAGCGGTCTTTTCCACCGTGTGGCAGGCGAGGGAGTGGCCTCCACGGGGCTCCCTCCACCCAGGGCTCTGGGTGACAACTGCAGACTCCGCGTGTGTCCCTCTCTGCTCCCTCTGGCACAGCGGCCTCTCTCTCTGTCTCACGCCAAGCTCACCCCGGCCACAGGCCTCCGTTTTCTGCCTGGAAAGCTCTGCTCAGATTTTAATGGCTTCTGCACTTCGCTCAGGTCCAAGTTCAGAGAGCACCTCGTCGTTGGGGAGGCATCGGACACACTGTACCAAACAGCATGGTCCTGCCTCCTTGTGATTGGTTTTTCTTCACGGCCTTCTCAGCAGCTGGGATGTTGTCTCGTTATTCGGGCTTTGCGTTCTGTGTCTCTGCCAGGACAGTGCAGAGCCCAGGGGACAGGGAGGGCGTCTGACTCGGCACCGTACCGGCCGTGCCCCAGACGGCGCTAGGCACACACATGAGCGCTCGGTTGAGTGCATAAGCAAACGGGTACGTGAGTCGACATCCGTTGGACGTGGCATTAATCTGTCACCTCGGACCAGGGAGACCAAGGAGCTTGAAGAAGGGCGCGATCTGAGAAGGGACACGTGCTAATTCAGGGGGACGCCTAAGAAAAGCGAGAGCATCGGCGTTTTGTGGAACAGCGGAGGAGCCACTTCAAACACACGACCTGCCAGGGCCACCTACGGCCGATGCGATTTCTGTCATCTTTCCAGAAAGACTCTGGGCTTGAGTGTCACATAGTGGTGTGTGACCAAGCTCTGGGCCGAGGACACTGCTGTGACCTCAGGCCTCAGGGCACCTTCTGACTCCTTTGGCTTTATAAAGGTTCCCAGTTCTTCTGTCCTTCCCCTGGGGCTTCACAGATGGACCTGTTTGTGGCATAACCAGCTTTTCAGATGCCAGTGCTGCTGGAGCCACGTCCCGTGAACCCAGCCCTGCCTGCCCGGTATGCCCTGGGTGCTGGCAGTTGTCATAAACGTGTCCCTCCCCCAGAGACGAAGTGTTAAGGAAACACGTCTCTGAGAATGTCATCCAGTGAGGCCGCTGGGGTACTCAGTATCGGTGCAGAGTCCATCCGACGAGTGTGTCTGCAGGACACACGGGTGCCGGAGGCTTCGTGCTGCCCAAGCACCAAGCGCCTCCTCGTTGCCTCTGTCACGTGCCTCGGAAGGCCAGGCAGGTTTTGGGGAACTTCCCAACCCCGTGGAGGTCTGAGACCTGTCTTCTGCACCCTCACCTGTTCCGAGACCCTTGAAAAGCCCCGAAGCTTCGATCGGATGCCCCAGCCAGCAGGCACCAGGCATGAGCCCTACGTTGTGCACCACACCTGTCCCGGAGCCCCTGGCCGTGGATAAGACAGAGGCTCGTGGACGACAAATGGGATTCGGGGAACAATGAGGTCCAGGATACAGAGGACATTTGTGAGAATCATCACGGGCGAGAACAGGAATTATGGGAAGGACAAGAGCTAGCGGGAGAAAAGGGGGCATTTTGGGGAACACCAAGGCATTACGGGGAACAGAGGGCGTCATGAGCGAGCAATATAATTGCAGGAAATAAAGTATTTGCGGAGGGAAATGCAATAGTGAAAATGACAGGAATTATGATGAGAAAGATGTCACTGATAAATTTGGGAATTTTGGAACGATAACATCATGGGAAACAATTGTGGGAATGACAGGCTCATGGAAAATAGATTGTGAATTATGGGAAGTAGGTCATGTACCGTGGGCTTATGAGTACTGGAAGGGATCATGGGAAGAAAGGAATTTTGGAAAGTACAAAGGATTATGGGAGAAACGAAGGATTGTGGGAATGTTCAGTTCATGTGCGGTGGGCTTATGAGGACCACAAAGGATCATGGGAAGAAGGGAATGCTAGAAACTACAAGGGATCATGGGAAGGATAAGGGAATTGTGTGAAAGCTAGTATATGAGGAAATTAAAGGGAAGGCGAAGGCCAGAGGCTCATGGAAGAGAAATGGATTTGTGGGTGAAACAAAACTCTATAGGAATGTTGAGGTCTTGAATACTGGGTTTATATATGGGTACCACATGGAATCATGGGAAGGAAGGAATTTTGGAAAGTACAAAGGATTATGGGAGAAACGAAGGATTGTGGGAATGTTCAGTTCATAAGCGGTGGGCTTATGAGTACCACAAAGGATCATGGGAAGAAGGGAATGCTAGAAACTACAGGGGATCATGGGAAGAAGGGAATGCTAGAAACTACAAGGGATCATGGGAAGGATAAGGGAATTGTGTGAAAGCTAGTATATGAGGAAATTAAAGGGAAGGCTAGCTAGAAGCTCATGGTAGGGAACTAGAATTCTGGGCGAAACACAAGATTATCGGTATGAGGTCATGAAGAGTGCTCGTATGGGTACCACATGGGCAATGGTGGTTTGAGGTCATGTGTAGTGGCCTTAGAGGAGCAGCAGAGGATAATGGGAAGGATAGGGAAGCTGTGTGATTATCTAGGTATAATGAGAGGAAATGAACTGAGGGAAAGCCTGAGGCTCAAGGGAGAAAAATGGAATTGTGGGTGAAACAAGATTATGAATGATGATATTGTGAAAGGGGCATATGGGTACAACAGAATCATGGGAAGAAGGGAATTCTGGAAATTCCGAGAGATCATGGGAGGATACGGGGACTATGGGAGAAACGAAGGATTGTGAGACTGTTGAGGTGTTGTACATTGGCCTTATGGTTACAACGGATCATGGGAAGAAGGGAATTTTGGAAATCACAGGGATAATAGGAGAAAACTTGAATTGTGAGAATGACGAGTCATGTACTGTGGGCTTGTGGGTACCGCAAGATATCATGGGAAGCAGGGATATCGGGAAACTACGAGAAAATACGGGACGGATAGGGCAATTATGTGAATAGGTATATGGAATGAGGGAAGGCCTGAAGCTCATGGGAGAGAAAAGGAATTGTGGGCGGAACAAAAGATTATGGGAATGATGAAGTCATGACTACAGGGCAAAGGGGTATCACACGGAATCATGGGAAGAAGGGAATTCCACACTACAAAGGATTGTGGGTATGATGAGGTCATGTGGGCTTCTGGGTACCCCCAAAGGATCATGGGAAGAAGGAAATTCGGGACACTAAAGAATCATGGGAGAGAAATGGAATTATGGGAGAAGCAGGGTATGATGGGAATGATGTCATGTACTGTGGGCTTCTGGGAACTACAAGGGATTATGGGAAGAAGGGAATTGGAGAAACTACAAGGAATCATGGGAATAATGGGGGAATCATGTGATAGTTATAATGGGAGGAAGTGGACTGAGAAGGCCTGAGTCTCATAAGAGAGACATGGAATTGTAGGCAAAACAAAAGATGATGAGGTCATGAATAGGGCGTATAGGTACCACATAGAATCATGGGACGAAGGGAATTGTTGAAACTGCAAGGGATCATGGGAGGGTTAGAAAAATTGCGAAACGGGATTCTGGGCGTGTCATTTACAGTGGCCTTGTGGGTACACAGGGCCTCATGGG